TGGAAAAACGTAACGAATGTCCCCCCTCGACAAGGGGGAGGGGAGGACTCGTTAATTATCGCCCCGAATTCCGAGCGGCGAGCGAATTCGTCGGCTTTTAATTGAGTGGACGGGCGTGCAGGCAGGGCTGATTTATCATTGTGGATAATCGTGGACGTTTGACGTTGGCTGCCTAGCCACGAAATTTTATATACAATCCGATTCCGCTTCTTGTTTAGTGGATGGAGATTTTTTTTCTTTTTTTTCTAATTAACCAGAGGCCTAGGTAATTAAGTTCGCGCGTGTCGGTTGATCGATCGACCGTTACTGGAGCATGAATCCATATTAAATGGAGATCGATTACGCGTATAACTGCCGTTAATTATTAACGAGGAGGTGGTAATACAGTTATTAGACGATAGGCTTTAATAATTCGAGGAAAGAGCGATTTTTCTTTTCTTTATATATTTCCTGTTTAAATAAATAAAATCGATTCCTCTAAAGTATTCGTTTAAATCACTTGCACTTTCATATTTATCCGCGATATAAAATAATCTCGTCATCCTAATAATTTCCACATAGCGAATGTCGTTTTGATGTATCGTTTTCGTAGGCCGTTTAAAACCCCGAAAACACCGCGGAATAATTTAATCGAGAGACAATAGTGTAACATTACGTTTACGGTAAATAACAAATAACGAGTTTAAATACTCGTTGCAAATACTCGAAGAGAGAGGTAAATCACCACGTGTCGGCTCGTCGACGCGAGACTATAATTTTCCTCTCCGCTCTTTAATAATTATCCAACCGAGTTGCGTAATTGGTTCAATCGAACCAGTGTGTCATCATCATCGCTTTTTCGATCTGAATAAAAATAATATCGAAGGTGAAGGAGAGGATAATAAAAAGACAAAAAATTATCGACGAATCTCGAGACACTCGCGGAAAAAAAGAAAACGACGGTTGATGCTACAATCTTATTATTACGAAAATCGATGGGTTTTCAAACTCTCTCGTACATCGAAAGGGGAGAAGGTAGAAGTTCCCTCCGAGTAATAATTGCGACGTGGAAAAGCATGGCACGAAATCGCACGCTTTTCTCCCCCACCCTTCGTAGTCGGAAACATTTTCTTATCGGTGATTGGGATCGAACCAATCCTACTACCCTTTTATTTTACAAATGATCGCAATTTTCCTCGAGTCATCGCGCCGCATCGAAACTTACATCTGTGTGTATGTATACAAAAAAACCCTTATCAAATTTTACTTATCAAGAAAGGTCTGTTTTTCGTAAGAAATTTATGATTCTATTATTATTATTATACGAATCTTTTTTTAAGAATTTCTCTAAAGAAGATGTAAAAATTATTGTCACTTAATTATTCGTATATTATGTATCGTAATTTTTATTGTTTCCATTTGCTCGACGAAACGAAGATTTTTCGCCATTTTAAAGACGTTTAATCATCACGTGGTTCATATTCAAACCGTAGTATATTATTATTCGGTAAGAATTTTGGAAAGATTTGCACCGGCACACCTCTAAACACGTCTCTAAAGCAGTAGTCGGCGCGCGTGGCATGATACGCGATGATTAGGCGGTGAAACTCCATGGGCTATTTGTTAGTATAATAAGCCCGCCAACAGTGTGGCCAACCTAACCACTTGGCGGCACGCCACCCCGTTTTAGCGTAATTGTCCCAGATCGAGATTTACATACGCGAACAGAGATTGGGAGGCGATCGAACGAGCAGGGGTTCGAATTCGAAGAAATCGTAAAAAAAAGAAAAAAAAAAAAAAAAAGGCAGGAGAAATTTTTATTCCACCCTTCGAAAGAGTGGATATAGACGAGGGTGAACTAACGACGACACTGTGAAAAATTTTACCAAGCGTATCAAGGATATCTAAAATAATTTGAAAGTAAATTTGAAAGAGAGAAGGGGGGAGGGAGAGGGTCAATATAACTTTTGAAATTGTATCCTTGCGAAGTTGTAATTATCGATAAAAAAAAAAATAAAAGTTTTCTTAATTAACAAACTTCCACATTTACGTAAAAGTTTTCGGTGCAAATCTTGTAAATTCTTACAATTTCATCTTTTTATACATATCAAAATTATCTGGATAAAAAAATCTGAGAAAAATCTTAGAAATTATTTGATCTCGAAACGAATTAAACGTTAACACTCGTAACGCAAGTTTCTTTCTGATTACAAACTTTCAATTCGCAAAGTAAACACTTTTCCAACTTTAATTTCAACCGTAAAAGTTTTCTCCAAACGGATCGATAGGATTAAAAAATATCCACCAATCTACCAGTAAACTCAGAAAAATTTCGTTTATCAAATTTTCTCCAAAATAATTCTCAATGAAATAAAACATTTACTATCAAATTTCCAAAGTTTTAAACGACATCATAAGATATAAAATCTCTCTCTCTCTCCCTAAATATAACAGAAAAAAGAATAAATAAATCGCCTTAAAAATTAACCCCTCTCCTCTCCATATTCAGTAAACTGGAAAAATTTTCTCCAAAATAATTCTCGATGAAATAAAACATTCACTTTCAAATTTCCAAAGTTTTAAACGACATCATAAGATATAAAATCTCTCCCTAAATATAACAGAAAAAAAGAAATAAATAAATCGCCTTAAAAATTAACCTTTCTCCATACTCAATAAACTGGAAAAATTTTCTCCAAAATAATTCTCAATGAAATAAAACATTCACTTTCAAATTTCCAAACTGAATAACATCACAAGATATAAAATCTCTCTCTCTCCCTAAATATAACAGAAAAAAGAATAAATAAATCGCGTTAAAAATTAACCCCTCCATACTCAGTAAACTAAAAAAATTTTCTCCAAAATAATTCTCAATGAAATAAAACATTCACTATCAAATTTCCAAACTTTCGAACGACATCACAAGATATAAAATCTCTCTCTCTCCCTAAATATAACAGAAAAAAAGAAATAAATAAATCATCTTAAAAATTAACCCCTTCATACTCAGTAAACTGGAAAAATTTTCTCCAAAATAATTCTCAATGAAATAAAATATTCACTTTCAAATTTCCAAAGTTTTAAACGACATCACAAGATATAAAATCTCTCTCTCCCTAAATATAACAGAAAAAAAGAAAAATAAATAAATAAATCGCCTTAAAAATTAACCCCTCCTCCCTCCATATTCAGTAAACTAAAAAAATTTTCTCCAAAATAATTCTCAATGAAATAAAGCATTCACTTTCAAATTTCCAAACTACTGAATGACATCACAAGATATAAAATCTCTCTCTCCCT